GAAACTCTGTGTGTGTGTGTGTATGTGTGTGTGCGCGCGTGTGTGTGTGTCTGTATTTACAATGCACGAGAAAAGAATTGGAAGGATATATTACTAGTGGGCCAGGTGCAATGCCTCATGCCTGTAATCCTAGCACTCTGGAAGGCCAAGGTCATGGATTGCTTGAACTCAGGAGTTCAAGACCAGCCTGAGCAAGAGTGAGACCCCATCTCTACTAAAAATAGAAAATGAGCTCTGACTAGGTCATGTGACTAGTCATGTGACAGTGGCTTGCAGAGGACCCTGTCTTTGAAGTTGTCCATGAAGTGACAGCAGAGAGAAGCGGGCAGACCAGAAACCCAGGCATGAAGATTGATCCTGCGGGAGAAAGGGTTCATCATGGCAGATGACCTAACGTGATTCCTGTATAAAAAGTTACCAAGTGTTTAAGGACTCCATGCTATTGTTGTGTCTGATAGAGATGGAGTACCTATTATTAAAGTAGCCAATGATAATGCTCCAGAACATGCTTTGAGACCTGGTTTCTTATCTACTTTTGCCCTTGCAACAGACCAAGGAATCAAACTTGGACTTTCAAAAAATAAAAGTATCATCTGTTACTATAACACCTACCAGGTGGTTCAATTTAATTGGTTACCTCCAGTGGTTAAGTTTCATAGCCAGCAGCAATGCCAATATAGGACTAATTGTCAGCCTAGAAAAGGAACTTGCTCCACTATTTGAAGAATTGAGACAAGTTGTGGAAGTTTCTTAATCTGACAGTGGTTTCAATGTGTACCTTATGTTCATTATACCAACATAATATCAATCCAACCGTCTTTAGATCATAGTAATACTTTCATCCATGTGCTCCAGAAAGGGCCCCCTTTTCCACCTTATACGAAAGAAAGAGCTTAAAGATATAATTTATAGACAGATTGAGTGTTATATTTTCTTATATAGGGTCTTTTCTTATTTAGGGAGATCTGGGGATACCACAGAAATGGTTCAGTCTATCACAGCTCCCATGGAGTTACAGTCACCAGATATGGATGAGATTCTATTCAGTGGGTCAGAATCAAAATGGTGCATTGATCCATTTGAGCCATTAACTGTTCCCTACTGGACAGCATGCCCACCCCTGCAGAATGAAGCAGACTCTTTTTATTGTGAATAATAAGGACATATTTTTCTTCAGATTATGTTTTATTTCTTTGCATTGAGACTGAGGAAAATGAAATGGCTTAGTAAAAGTAATAAAATCAGTACAATCACTAACTTTCCTTTGTACATATTATTTTGTAGTATAGGTGAATATTACTAATTGATTTGATTATTCTCAAAGAGTTCTGCTCTTTAATGAAAATGAAAATTATAGCTAATGGTTTTCCCCCAGTTCTGCTTTCTATAACCAATCAGTGTTTTAATGTTTGTGTGTTCTTTATAACATTTAATTAATGATTTGTTACTGAATTCTGTTTCCAATATCAGTATGTTTGTAAATATGATAGTATAGCCACTTTTTTCATACATGAGTGTAAATAAAATAGTATTTTTAAAAATAAAAAAAATAGAAAACTAGTTGGGCGTAGCAGCACATACCTATAGTCTTAGTTACTTGGGAGGCTGAGGCAAGAGGATGGCTCAAGGCCAAGAGTTTGATGTTGCTGTGAGCTATGATGCCATGGCACTCTACCTAGGGTGACAAAGTGAGACAGAGTCTCACCAAAAAAAAAAAAAGGAAAGAAAAAAGGATATACTACTAGCAGTTCCCCACGGAGACAAAAATTATATTGGGAGGGAGGAGGTGGCAGGATGGTGATGAGGGAGAAATTATATCTTTTATTCTATTGGGTTATATTCATATATTTAAATTTTTTACAGTGAGCATATTTTTATAATCAACTTTTAAAAATAAATCACTTGAAATGAGTCCAATCTCCTAAGAATAGGAGAAAATGAATAGGGAAAAAAATTTACTTTATAGGCTCGGTGCCTGTAGCTCAGAGGCTAGAGTGCTGGCCACATATGCCAAGGCTGGTGGGTTCCAATCCAGCCTGGGCCTGCGAAAGGACGAAAACTACAACCAAAAAATAGCTGGGCATTGTGGCGGGCACCTGTAGTCCCAGCTACTTGGGAGGCTGAGGTAAGAGTTCACTTGAGCCCAAGAGTTGGAGGTTACTGTGAGCTTGACCCCATGGCACTCTACATAGGGCAACATAGTGAGACTCTGTCTCAAAAAAAAAACAAACTTACTTTATACTTCTCACCCCCTTCTTTCCCCCCCCCCTTTAATTTCATTATCAATCTAAGTATACAAAGTTAGCAATGTATTCCATCACTGTCTTAATGGCCACTCACTTGAAAATAGTTATACCCACGATAAAAACGCAGAAAAAATTTAGTGCTGAGAAAGGAAAACAGATAGCTGGAAATATGAAAAAGTTAAGAAGAAAGAGACCGAGGAGTTATATATTTTCAAACAATCTACATTCCAAACCACAAGTTAGAATAAAGTAAATAAATGAAATCCCCTTGTATGTATGTTACCTTTTCAACTGGTTTTAACTTTTACCATGGATTTGCTGCCTAAAGAAACTGCTGAGTATTTATTTAAGCCCACAGGTCTCATGTACCACTCTGCAGACCATCTGGATCAGAATCACGAATGGCACTTAGTGAACATCAGAGGCCCAGGTCCCAGGTCCACCAGCGGCCCTAAGGGCAGAGGGTGGAAAGCTGCAGCTTCAACCAGCACCCAGCTGACTTACAAATCCCACACTTTAAGACCTATTTCCTTAAGCTTTCGGAACACTAACAATCACAGTAGTGATCAGAATAGTCATTCCACTAATTAAAGGAAAAAAAGGTTATGTAGCTTTCTCAAAGATGTTAAGGTTGTAATTTATTTTATTTTATTTATTTTTTTTTTTTGAGACAGGAGCCTCAAGCTGTCCCCCTGGGTAGAGTGCCGTGGCATCAAGCTCACAGCAACCTCCAACTCCTGGGCTCAAGTGAGTTTCCTGCCTCAGCCTCCCAAGTAGCTGGGACCACAGGCATCCGCCACAACACCCAGCCATTTTTTGGTTGCAGCCATCGTTGTTTGACGGGCCTGGGCTGGGGATTCAAACCCGCCACCTTAGGTGTATATGGCTGGCGCCTTAGCCGCTTGAGCCACAGGTGCCAAGCCTGTAATTTATTTTCTAACAATTAAGCATTATAATCTGAACAAAATACAATCTTTTTTAGACTTTATATAGATTTTTATGACTGTTTCTATTTTGACAACCACTCTATGCCCAACTCCCAGTAGGCACTCAATAGATACTTGGTCAGTTAACATGATTTAGATCAGAAAGCTCCTCACACACAGAAATGACTCTGGGCAAAATGGAGCTGGCCAGTGGGAGGAAAGACTAGAATTAGATGCGATGAGCTTGCAGGTGCAGCGAGCAGGCTCTGTCACTGAGCACACTGCCATCTCACTGACATGACTTAACCTCTCTAAGTCTCTTATCCCTTTGCTAAAGGGTGATGGAGTTGACTCTGTGAGATTAACTGCCAAGAAGCCATTTATATATAGCCTAAAATGTTGAAATACAGATCCAGCAGACATTCTTTAAATAAATGTTCTTGGGTGCTCTCATTTCAAAGTTAATATTGTAAGGACAAAGAAACATATGGAAATGGGGATATTACCTTCACCACTGATTTGTCATTCTGTGGTTAAGTTTGAAACCACTTGGAAGAGGACAGTCCATTTGCAAGCAAAACAAGAAAGATAACCGGCAAAGAAGGAAACCGTCAGTCTGCAAGTTTTATAAGCTGTTATCACTGCAGATTTTAAAAATCTAATCATTTACACCAATTATTTTTACCTAACATATTCTGGAATGGTACCTAATATAGACATTAGTAAATCTGTGGCATTGTTACCAAAAAAAAACCATGCAAGATATCTTTTCAAGGAGCTCTTTAACAATAGTTTGTAGAAAACCATAACCATAGGATGATAAATCACCCAAATCTATGTTTTAAAGGACCAAAAAGGCTTTCCAAGGACACAGGCATTAAATTCAAAATGTGCTGAATTTAGAAAAAACGTTCTACTTACTAATAAACATGACCTTCGTTTAGAGAGCTGCAAATCAGTCTGAACTGCAGCAAAGGGTCATGGAGAACAGGGAGTGGATATTAACTGGGGTGCCCATCTCCAAAAGTCTGGTTTATCAGATCAGGCCATCAGATGTCTTAATTTGCATGAGGAAACCCCTAGGCTGAAATGGGAAAAACAATGAAGGGTACCCTTAGGATTTTAGGAGAAATGCTCCCAAATTCAGCAGAAAGCTAAAAGCTGTTGGTTGCAACATCCAAAGGAGGAAGGAGTGTCCTGACTCTGAGCTAGGTGAAGTCAAAGCCCCGTCCCTTGGCTGGTCACTGTTGACCATCCTTAGGGAAAAGTACTTTGAAGCCTATCTCAGAAAGGGAGGTCCCCAGTCCCCAGCACACCTGCTCCTAGCCCTCCAGGGAGGCAAATGCCGTAAGAGCGAGGAGGTTTTTTGGAAACCTTGAAAGAGCTACATGAAAGGGGGTAAAAAGCTCTGCCCACCTTGACGAAGCCAGTTGCAGTGAGTAGCAGCAGTGTACACAGGCTAGCAGAGGAAGCTCTGAGGGGAAGAGGATGCAAATAACTACAGGCAAAGAAAGCAGCAAAGTGAACTGAGGTCCTGCCTCGGCTGCTGGAGGAATGGGGCAGATGCGGCAGAGAAGGGGGAGAAACTGATGATGGCCAGAGTAGGCAACTAACAGGCACGGGGGCAAAGAAGGGCACAGCTGGAACAGCCTCCATGGAGGACTGCTAGCATCCTCAGCACCTTGGGAGTTGGAACCAACCAGACTTGGAATCCCAGGAGCGACAGTGGCAGGGCATTGACGGCCAGGACAAGTATCACTGAAGCCCCGACCCAGTTTAAGGCTGAGGAGGTGGGGTGAAACAGGCCTCCAACAGAACGTGCACTCACATTCCTACGGAGCCATGGTGCTTTGGACAACTTCATGAAGGTCAAATGAGGTTTAAAACTTCTGCTTTCTCCTGCCAGGATGCCTTTTCCTTGAAATGTCCTTTTTGCAATCTCTGAAGGAAATAAAGAAAAACATAAAAAGGCTACTATAACACATAGTTCTCTTTAACTGGAGAAATGTCAATTCACAAACAACTATTTTATAAAGAAGATTACTTTATAAACCTGTTTGAGATTTTTTTTTTAAAGAAAATAAAGATCCACAATGTGTATAGTAATACATAACCCAGTGGTTAAATCGCTCATGATTTCAAATGGGGCAAAGCACACAAAAGCAATAATTTGAAAAGGAAACATCTAATAAATGAAATAACTGGCTGATATGATGCTGACTTTCACTGATCATCCCAGTGGTTTCCGTGTATATAAAAAAGGACTACTTTATCTGTAACCCTTCATATCTAAAACTTCTGCTTCCAAGATGAAGGAACAGGAAAGAAAACCTCTGTGAGAAATTAGAAACAAGGTGAGCCCTTGAATTGCCCCAGCTGGCTTGGCGCCTGTGGCTCAAGCGGCTAAGGCGCCAGCCACATACACCTAAGGTGGCGGGTTCGAATCCCCAGCCTGGGCCCGCCAAACAACAATGATGGCTGCAACCAAAAAATGGCCAGGTGTTGTGGCGGGCACCTGTAGTCCCAGCTACTTGGGAGGCTGAGGCAGGAGACTCGCTTGAGCCCAGGAGTTGGAGGTTGCTGTGAGCTGTGATGCCATGGCACTCTACCCAGGGGGATAGCTTGAGGCTCCGTCTCAAAAAAAAAAAAAAAATTGCCCCAGCTTACATCCTTGAGTGTCCAGGACCCTGTGCAAGGAATAGAAACCTTAGTAGAGCCCAGCCATCTCCATGGGTTGAGGAAAAAGAGCTAAGACAAGAGGCCATAGCAACTAGAGCTTGTAGAACAGAGCACTTGAGAAGTGAGACTTGCACTGAGCAAAAACTCCAGAGACCTACACAGGGTCTCCCAAGAAGAGTCAGCTGAGTACTGATCCGTGCATCTATACAAGAACATTACCTGAGGCTGGAGAAAAACACATTCAAAAGGATTAGAGGCACCAGGGCGGTGACTCACACCTATAATCCTAGCACTCTGGGAGGCCAGGGTGTGGATTGCCTAAATTCAGGAGTTTGAGACCAGCCTAAGCAAGAGCAAGACCTTGTCTCTAAAAAATAGCCAGGTGTTGTGGCAGGTACCTAGAGTCCCAGCTACTCAGGAGGCTGAGGCAAGAGGAACACTTGAACCCAAGAGTTTGAGGTTGCTGTGAGCTCTAATGTCACAGCACTCTACTGAAAATGATAAAATGAGACTTTGCCTTAAAAGTAAATAAATAAAAACCATTTTTAATGCAATATTGGAGTCACAAGTATGCTTTAGATTTAACCACCAATTCTGTTGGAGTCTGGAAGTTACTAATAATGTACATTAATTATAACCAGAATACTTGGATGAAAATAAAATCCAGTTTATCTCCATCCTGCCTGAATATTTCTTACATAGTGTAAGATTTCTGTTTTCCTGAATGAGAACTTAAAATGAAACAGATGCAAGAAAGAACAAACAAAGATACCATATTATCTTTTCTAAGAAAATGAAGAGTTTTGCAGGAATGACTGGTCCTTATGAAATCCATGTGAAAATAACGAAACAACATGAATATAATTAACAGAGACTATGAGGGCTTCAGAAGCACCTGTATGAAGGAAAAAATACATGGATGCATTTTTATTTACTAATGATATCATTGTAAGTGCTATTGGTGATATATCTGGTGTGGGTGGCCCGGGTGCTGGGCTGCCTCGAGAATGAAGAGCAGGGTAGAGAATGGATATTTACACAGCAGGAGCACTGGCACAGGTCAGCATCAATCCCCTCAGTTCCCCAGCATGCCTGAAGCACATGCCCGGCACCTGCCAGGTATTCAACAGAACTTGCTAAATGCGAACCGAGCATCACCCATTTACTAGGGGTCCCATATAGGCTCCATCATCTGCTCTTCAAAAGAACCCTAAGAAGTTAAGTTCTTATCATCCCCATTTTGAAAAATTAAGAAATGTATAAAAGCTATCCATGTACCAAAAACATTTGTAACCCCTTAATAATTTGAAATGTAATAAAAAAAATGAAGACATTGAGATTCTGAAATGTTAGCAGATTACTCAATATCACCGGCTAGGTGGCGGTGAGGATAGAATGTGAATGCAAATCTAACTAACCACAAACCTCATGCTGCCTCCTACACAAAGAATCTAAAATCTTCTTTACCCTCTTCTAAAAAATGTTTTCAAGCAAAAACTAATGGTGGTTGGGTTACTTTAAGACTTGTACAGCAGGCATGAATTCCATTCAACAAACTCAGGTTTGATCATTAATTCACTCAGCAAATAATTATTGAGAACCTAAAGACATGGGGCTTCCATATTTGTTGGGTGCCACAAACAAACAAATATATATAGTAAGGAAAGATTTTGATAAGTGGAATGACGACAAATGAAGCAGGTGAGAGTACACAGAGTGCTGTGAAAGAAACGAGGTCGCCACTTTAGATAAGGTGGTCTGGGAACCCCACTCCGAAGGCTGACATTTGAAAAGACACTGCATGAAGTGGACAGGGAAGCACATGTGTGTGTCTGAAAAGGGGATTCCTGATGGAAGGAACAACTGCTGACGTGAAAGCCCGTTTAGTAGTGTAAATGATAAAAGAAAAGGAGAGGGCAACTCGAACAATTCGGCCTGGTGTGATGGCTCATGCCTGTAATCCTAGCACTCTGGAGCCTGAGGGGGAAGGATCACTTGTGATCAGGGGTTCAAGACCAGCCTGAGCCAAGGGCAAGACTGTCACTACCAAAAATAGAAAAATTAGCCAGCATGGTGGCTCGTGCCTGGAGTCCCAGCTGTTCGAGAGGTAGAGGGAGGAGGACTGTTTGAGCCCAGGAGTCTGGGGTTGCTGTTGAGCTACAAGGACATCATGGAATGAATTTAGCCAGCCCCACCCAGTTTTAACTCACACACTCAGTGGTAGAACATGCAACAGGACCCTTGGAAGTTCCAAGGTCCTGTACATCACCAGGGACAGTTGAGCACTTCACTTCTTCTGATTAACAAAAATCACTCATAAATCCCCCTGCCACCACCCCCACCCCAGCTCTCTCTATCTTGCAAGAACCACCTACAGACTGGGACGCCAACCTGCACAGCAGATTGTGTTTGCTGACAAAATAGTACAGCTCAGCCAGCTCTTGCCCTCCAACACCACCTACTGGCCTCATAGGTGAACTGCACAATGCAATACAATTCATGCTGACCTGCTCAGCAGGGGAAACCAGATATGCTTCTGGAGACCACCATCTCCCGCCTCTACAGGACGCAGTGCGCAGTACACAGCTAGTACAACTACAAATAGCTAACATCTCAGAAAATCACCATGCTAAAGCTATCTATAACATAGGAATTCAGATGTTCTGCCCCCTGAAAGCACCCAAAGTAAAGCCAAAGGACCCTACCCAACATACAGTGCAGTCACACACCCAAAGAGATTAAAAATCCCACCCAAATGAAACTAAGTTTGAAAATAAGTGACAGAATCTCCAGATAAGATGGAATCAGCATGAGCATTCTGGCAATATGAAAAAACAGAATATAAAACCCCTGCCAAGTATTCTATGCCCTCCCTAGCTATGTATCCTACCCAAATAAAAATTATGAAATGACAAATAATGAATTCAAAATCTAGGTCTTGTGGAAATTCAATGAGATCCAAGAGAAAAATGAAAGCCAGCACAAATCAGAAAAAAAGACTCAAGATATAAATAAAAAATGTACTAAAGATATTTTTTAAAAAATCAAACAGAACTTCTGGAAATGAAAAACTCATGGAGCAAATTACAAAGTGCAGCTGAAGCTCTAACAACAGAATAAGCCAAACAGATGAAAGAATTTCAGAGCTTGAAGAAATCAACTTTCAAATCAACCCAGTCAGACAAAAATAAAGGAAAAGGAATTTTAAAAACCAAAGGCTTTAAGAAATAAGGGATTATGTAAAGTGCCCAAATGACTATTGATCTACCATTAGTGGGTCAATCAGGAACAAGAAGACAGGATGACTGGAACAGTCAAAAGAATACAACCTGAGGCCTTAACTAGTTTAACAAGGAATAAATCCATGCTGGCCTGAAAGAGGCCAGAAGCCCCAGTGAGGTTCTACAGCATAAGCAGTGCTGTAAAAAAAGTGAAATGGAAAGAACAGAAAGTTATGATGCTAGACAGCTATATCCAAGTTTAAGATCTCCAAAACTGGCTAGTTCTGGCATATGAAAAGTCAAAGGTTTTATGATGCTTATGAATGGCAGGAGGGGCATAAGGGTTTGGGATGCCTAAGTTAAAGAAGTCAAGGAATATTAAGAAAAGCAATGGCTGTGAAGGCAGCAGTGAGGATGGGGGAGTTATTACTGTTAATAATAATACCTACCATTCGTTTAACATTATATTATAAAGGTGCTAAGCACTTCATATATATTATCTCACTTTATTTTCAGAAGAGTTGCTAGTATCCCCATCATACAAGTAAAGAAACTGAAGGACTGAGAGATGAAGTAAACTGCTTAAAGCCGCTCAGCTGGTACCTGGCTGCTTAGTCAATTCTGAGCGGCTGGAAATCTCACTCTCAGCCAGGGTGGCTCATGCTGCCAAAGCAAGAAAGGATCACAAGGTGAGTTAAGATGTTTCTTAACTCCTCAGTGAGTGCAAATACTCAGCAAAAAGTACGGAAGAGGGTAACAAAACCGGATAGCATGAACCACCCCCAAGGAAAGGCCTTCATGAGGGAGTTGAACAGGGACAAAGGAACAGAGCTAAGAAAATGTGGATGACACCTCTGGCCACAGGGTATAAGGGATGGGGTGAGATGTGCAGCCTTCAAAAGAGGAAGCTGGGAGCTCAGATAAAAGCCAAGTTTCAGCTAAGGCAAGAAGGTAAGGGGGTGTTCTTAGAAAGCGTTTAGGGAGTCCAGCTGCTAATTTATACTGTGACAGACCAGAACACTGATGAAGAGCACAAAATCC